AGTCTGGCCTAACTTGAAGTTCGGTTAACTGTTAAAGTTCGAGTTACTGATTATGGACGTTCAATAAAACAAAAATATATGTTGCCCGTAACTCGAAGTTCTGTTTAAACTAGTAATTGAACATCTTGTTACAATTTGGGCGTGGTTACGCAAAAGTGGTCGTTTCTAAAATACTGGCGTATCCTTTTTTAACTCTATGACCGTAACTCGAACAATTCAACGTCCCACTCCTGATAATGTGGTGATCCCTAACACAAGCGCCACCTACGGTGGGAATGAGATGCATATTCTTCTTTACAAAGAATATATAGCGTCAATCCAGTACATATGTAATTACAAACTATTGACCATAACTTTATGAGTATACGTTGGCGCTGAAATTAACTTTTATATATGTTCATCACACAACGAAAACCACGACTCTGAATATGAAAACGAGGCTGTAATTTACGTAAATACACGAAAGGGATTTCCCCTATTCGGCGGTCACCAATGATTTCCTGGAACTGCTATCAAAGGTGGATGTTGTGTTGTTCTCATGTATACGCGATGTCATTGTTCAGTTTGTCTATTGTTTTCAGCTTTTGACATCGGCACGAGGAACTGTATTTGTCTGTTTTCAACATGAATTGAGTGCACGCCGTGTACGCGGGCAAACTGTCGATTATTTCTTGTAACTATTCAGTATTGGTCTTCGGCGTTAATTTAAAAGGAGAGCTGCATATCTCAGAATTTTACCATGGAGACATAGGACATCAATGTCTATGTTATATGCATTATTAATATATATTTTTTTAATTTCAATCTAATTCGTCTGCTTCGAGATTGGGTTCACTGGAGTAGCCCCGTAAGTTGTTTATACTGTTTATTCGTATTTTGAGTCAACGGTAGGTAACGCCGTACTTATGTCATACTTACGTTAAGGTATGTACAATCATTCACCAACCAACCATTCACTTGCAGAAATGTATTGACACACGCTCATAAAATTTACAGACCGTCCCATGGATTAAACCATATTACTTATGTCATCATCCTCATACAGTATTGCGAAACAATAAAGATAAATAAAAGGTGTTCCACTCGGGGACAGTCCCTTTTTGTCCCCATTTGTGTAATGCATCTGTAAAATCGTGAAAAAATACTGCTGTGGGTTTTAGTCAAGGTAATACCCAAACTCACAACAAAATAAACAATGATAACACATGCAAGATGTGTGTCCGTGACGGAACACAGTTAAACAATTTTTAACACCTAACACCCCGCCCACCCGGCACCTACTATCACCGTCCACCCCGTCCACACCGACACCTACTATCACCGTCCACCCCGTCCACACCGGCACCTACTACCACCGTCCACCCGTCCACACCGGCACCTACTACCACCGTCCACCCGTCCACACCGACACCTACTATCACCGTCCACCTCGCTTGTCAAGTGGCTTCAATGACGTCAGCAATGTAGAATGTTTTTCAAGACCAAGGAAATGAAATGTTCATATATTGGTAGTCATGGCTACCGACATAGGTGTGCCTTGAATATTTATCTTATGCAATAAATAAATTTGGTTGACATTTTTGATACTCCTGCTACTATAATTGTGAAGTAAATCGTGCTGTTGTTCCCGCCATTATTTGGATTCTTGCAGCTAC